ACGTTAATGAGGGATATGGGTAGATTTCAGTTTTAGTTTTTAGAGATTTTCAAAATTTTACATGGAATTTTGTTTTACATTAGAAACACTCACCATGGGTTTCTTATGCAGATATCTCCTTGGAAAACTTGTGAAGCTTAATGGGAGAAAATTTTTGTGTTAATTAATTGTATGCAATACCTCCAAATATTGGCTACTATTATAACACATGCAAAGGAGTCTACTCACTTTCAGCTTGAGTTTTCATGCCATGAATTGTATGAGTCTGTTAGAATATTATTTCAAATGGTTCACAACTACTAAGATAATAATGGATAAGTAAAAATGTAAATATACAGATGACATTAGAATCTAAGGTATTTACTATAAGGGATATGCAATAGGGGTTTGGTTCCTTACAGTTTATCCTCAGAGAGTAATTAACCTAAAAAGAAAAGAAAACCTAAAAGAGTTGTTAACTTATATTTAAAATTAATTTCAGACTGATTCACTATGGTTTAGCATGTGGACATAATCTAACTATGGTATCTAAGAAGTATTTTTATTTCTGTGTTGCAGGAAATAAAAAGAAAAAATAAATTAGCTGAATAATAGGACTGAAATGCTCTTATTATCCTACTTTATATATCAATGGCAGAGCCATTACTCTATTTACGTACATTTTAATAGAAGTTAGTAGTTTATTCATTCATATTATTAATGTTAATTTTTATTGAAATAGATGTACACAAAACATCAAAAGAACCACTTTATAAACCATTAGATTAAAAATATATAAACTACAATCAGATATGTTAGTTTTGTATTCTGTGTTTTGATTATCAATTATAATTATGTTATGAGTTATTTTCTCTTCTTTCTTCCCAATACCAATTTTGAAAAACCCACAAAATTATTAAAATATACCCTAAATTATAAATACGGCCTACTGTGAAGAGCAATAATTTCTTTAAAACCTGAACTATATACTGTATTTCTTAATTTATATTGTATTCAATAATAATAATGGTATGAACTAATACCAAAGGAATGATTTTAATAAACCAGTCTCTACAGTAATTATTTTCCATTTAGATTGAATTTTGTTTACTGTTGATACAGTAAATTATATCACTCATTTTCCACTAAACAACACAGAGGCAGGTATCGTCATGAGGTGCTGGTGCAGTTGGATTTTAGAGTCTGATTTCAGAGACCATGTTGTCATTTTACCACCCACAACCATGTGCAGCAGGAGCTGGATTTATGTTTGAAAACACTTTTTTACAAACAGTTTTTAATTGATCATCTTTGAAGAACAATAAATATACCGTTAGACTGCATACAGTTATCTTTCATTACAAGAATCTCTGTGACCATGCACCAGTTGATTCTGTCTTTTTTTTAATCTATAAAATTCTGTATTCTATGGGAAACAATTCTTTCTCATTCTTCAGAGAGATAGAGAAAAATTAATACCAAAGAAAAATGCAGACTAGTGACAGTGCTTTGGATGTAGGCTAAATAATGATCACTTTATCCTTCTAGACCTTGTTTTATTTATTTTTACAAGTTTATTTTTGATAAAGTAGGTGAGTGGCAAATATTTCTTCTTTTACTCTGATTATAAGAAACATTCTTCAGCACAAATTTTTGTCACTTGAAGAACCATATCCTTTTGTTCTGAAATATATTTGCCTAAAATAAGGACATAAACCAAGTAAACTTTTCATCTTTTATTAATCTAACATGCTAAGAAATTTTGCTTCTTTTATGTCAATACTACCCAATGGATTCTTATGCTGGTTTTTTTAGACTTTCTCAGCAAGAAATATGATAACGACATTACTAGATGTATTGCAAGGCCGTTAAAAGAAATTAGCTAATTCTATGAAATTTTTTTAGTTTACAAAATAGACTTATTTATTTATTTATTTGGTACAGGGTCTCACTACACAACTCAGACTCCTAGTGATCCTCCTGCTTTAAGCTTCCCCAGTGCTGGAATTATAGGCGTCTTGGTGGCGGGCTCAGCCACCCAGAGGAGAGACCAAATATCAAACCTTGGTCCCTGGGCTTGATTAAGCAGGATAGATCATATTTTTTTAAAAAATGGTACATTATGACAATTGTCATTCCTCACTTATGGAAAATAACCATAAGGCTAATCAACCACTGTTTCTTTTCATTGAGAAATATTGAAAATACATTGCTTTGTAACCATTCATATTCTACTTAACATTCTAAGAACTAAACTCCTCTTGGAGAAAAAAAGATCATATATTAAACTTTCTATCTTTTACTTTAATTTTCACTGTTGTCTCAGCATTGTATTAGATACTACACATCCAAGTGAGACCCAGCATTTAGTGGGACCTTTTGCAAACCATCTACCTGCAAATTCCACAGAAGTGACACAAATACAAAAATATTATTATCATGGATAGTTAAAATGGTGATGATTTGTAGATGTTGCCAATACTACTTGCTAGTGCTTTTGCAGCCTGCTGCTGCACTGAAATTTAATCGGTCTTCTGTATTTTGTGCAGCGGACATGTCACTGGCAATAATATACTTTTGCATATGTATCAGTTTGGCTGCAGTGCAGATTTTTGTTCACACTGGACTCCTACTGATGTGCACTGATTTAAAGTCTAAAAATTAAATATAATTTTATATAGCTTTAAGTACTCCCTAGAGGATATTGGATCCTAAAAGTTAATATTTTTCAGACATAATCAGCAGGAATAAGTAATGTATTGCCATTAAACACATTAGCAACAACTGTAACAATAGGAAAAAGTAAACATAAATGATTTTAGCAACCTCATTCTTTACAAAGGAATATTAGTATAAAATTACACAAATTCAGCAATTTAACATTCAACATGTTTATTCATAAAGATTGTTTCATATTTAAAGAACACCAAAATATTATGTTTTGTCAGCCAAGGACAATAATAGTTTAATAGTAATTTATTTTAAACAGCTACTGATAATACAACCAATCAACACATTAAGTGGTGCCAACATTGGCATCTTGCTAAATAATCTCTAGACATTGCACAGAGAGTACATCTTTCAAAGATAAGTCAACAAGAGCAATCAGAGCAGAAAATTAGAATTTGGTATCTTAGAATTAAAATACAGCTAAACTAAAGTTTTAATTGGGGTGATCTAAAAGGGCACTTGATGTAATGATCTCTTTCATTTGTTACTAATTGTTTGTTCCTGATGAAGAAGAAACACACAGGAATGTTGTTGAATTCAGTTAAGATGGCAGTTTCCTTAGTGGCTATGCTTTATTGTTAAACAACAAAAGAGCAGGGAGGGGTGTGCTGCTAACAGAGAAATCTTTCCCCTGCTTGTTTGGTATCACAAGAAGTATAGTAGAAAATTCAGGGTCAGACATAACAAATATGTAATAATTTATATGTCCTTGAAAAGAGAATAAAAATGGCTTATGACAATACTCAGAGATGGCTGGTAGGCTGAAGGAGGGCTACCTCTTTGTAGTGTTTGCAAGTCAGGTTGGAGTCAAAATTTTCACACTGCCTATGTTCTCACCTATGAATGGCATCCACTTCCATCTCACCTATAATTTTAATCAAAAATTTCAGTCTGTGCTATTCACAAAGGCAAAATACTCTCTATTTCAAAAGTCATTTTGTATTTTGTAACTAGTAAGAGAAAAAATAGGTCTAAGTTTTACTAGTAACTTTGGTTCTGAGTATCTCAGTTCAGGCTCCATGTATTTTTAAAATCTTACCTGAAAAATCCAAAACATTAATATTTTTAGAAATTTAAGCACTAAGTCAAAATTTATGTATCTATGTCCTTAATCCATTGTATGCATAGACACATTTTATTTTTACTACATATTCTTGCAAATTATGCTGTCAAAGAATTTCCTGAAAATTACTCTTAGATTATGACAAGCATTATAAGAACTTTTAAAAAATAATGCTCTGCAAGGTCACTATGTTTGAGATCTACTGAATGTAATATGTATCTCAAAAATACACTATTGCTATAATGTCTATTTATGATTTTTTAAATTCACTATATTCTAAGCATTCTGTGGGCACTGGGGCCATAATACTAAGAGAGAGAGACCATCTTCTGCCTCAGAGAACTTCTATTTTTGTGGAAGAGGCACAATATAATCAGTAAATAAATACCTGACAATATTATATAATGATTAATGCAGTGAGAAATTTTAAGGAGGGAGTAACAAGATACATTTGGAGGGCTAGTCCAACCTGGGTGGTAAGAGAAAGTTTCCCTTCAACAGTAGTTTTGAGCAAACAAGAATAAAAGTGCCAAAGTGAACTAAAGCAAATATTCAGGAAAGGAACAACTTCACTGTGGTAGAAAGAAATAAAAAAAAAATCATTGCAGCTAATGTAGTCTTGCTAACAAGTGGGAGAATAAGTGAAAGGGATCTACTTGTAGAAACATGTCCCCCTAATTTTCTTCTTAGGTCTTAGGTTTTAGGTATGTAAATGCGCTTCTTCCCCTTACTTTTGGACCTAAATATTTTAATTAGAAGCAACTGTACCTGCATACCATAAATATTTGTCCTTCTGTAATAGTTCAATTAGATTAAGAAATTTTGTGGGTGATAGTATTTACCCTAAGTGAGTAAGAATAAACAAATTTGATGTGTGTATCTTTCTTTTAAAATTATTTGAAGCAATGATTATAAAGTGCTTTACACTAAAATGTTACCATCCTTCATACTTTCTTTGTACAGGGGCTTTTGAAGGTTGCCATAGATAATGCCAGAGCTCAAGAAAAACAGGTCCAACTGGAGAAAACAGAGCTGAAGATGGATTTTTTAAGGGAAAGAGAACTAAGGGAAACGCTTGAGAAACAACTGGCTATGGAGCAAAAAAACAGAGGTATTTGTGAATTTCTAGATAAGTTCAATGCTTTAAGTAAAACACTCAACACAATGATATACTTCTGAGGCAATTTACCAAAAGACTCTAGCTTTCTTGGTTAATTTACCTGTGACTAAAGTTTACAGCAGAATTTGAACCCTGGACTGAAATTTCTTTGTCTCCAAAGTACCTGTTTCATTTCCTGTTCCTATGCAAGAGATTGACATATTGTCATTATGTCATTGATTATATAATTTTTATTACTTATATGGTTTAGCAAATCCATAAGATAAGAATGAGCTCTGATAAGATGACAGCCATGAAAAAACTTTTAAGTTGCCCTTTGAAAAACTAGAGTTAAAGTCATGCAGCTAAAGTAGAAAATACTGATTATTCAAGCAAAGCAGGCTTAGTAAGATATTTATCAACTGAAATTGAAGACTGATGAATATCGGAACAAATGACTACAGTTAAGTGTATAATTTTCTTTCGGAATGACTCATTTTCATTCAACAAGATCAAGTACAAAGCGTAGAAACCAATATGAATTCTTATTGGGAGAAACTGATGATATTATTGACCTATGAACTGTGTCTTTTAACACACTGTACCATCCATCTATAGATTATTTTGAAGGTCATTCATATTTGTCTGGGTATGTATGAATTTCAAAATTATTTACAACTAACTCTCATTTACTCCAACTGTAAGAGTCTCGCAAGAATTCTACAGAAAGGGGAGATTTTCTTTTTTCTGTTTTGCTCCTTTAATGAATATCCAATGAAGGCTTTAGATACTTTCCTTTTATATGTTTCATATGGTTATTCAAAAATCATTGTTTCTGTTTTGTTTGTAAAACAAGCAGGATTTGTCAGTTCAATTCACTAGTTATTGAAAGACAACAGCTAGTGCTTTGCTGGAATAACGTTGTTTTGATAATCTCTTATTTTACATATAGAGAACAATTCTGAATGATATGGCAACCCATTACTTTAGATACTGAAGTAAAACAAAATAAACAAAATAAACACTACAAATAAACACTGATGTGAATAAGATAGTTTGGTCAAGAAGTTTAAGCTATGGAGCCATTTTCTATGACAGCCATGTCTTGATTTTGTTCTAACCTAAAGAAACCTTTTGCCTAAGATGTATCTGTATGTTCTTGAATTCCTGTGTAATTTTGTGAATACCTGTTGACAGGTTTTATATTCTACTTTATTTCTTTAACCACTAGAGGGCAAAGCAACCACAGATCGCACCACAGATTTCCCATTTAATTAATTATGAGCAGTAAATTAAAGATAATAATGATTAGTACTTATCTATAATGGACACGTCTACTGAGACAGAGTGGTACCCTGAAGTCAGAATGTGTCAGTACCAATTGGATCAGTCACCTAGGAAGACGTAGTGAGTGGTCTATTAGAAGCTTCTGGATATTGAGCCTGTAATGCCAGCAAGAGTGTATCATTTGAATAAATATTTCAAAATATACTATGTCTTTTCAAAGAAACTCATAAATTATATCATCTTTGGAAAAAGACATAATTAGCAAGTAACTTTGTCAAGGTAAATTCATGATATTTATACTATTAAATAAAGGAAATTAGCACTTGAAATAAGCTTTAATCGTTTTTAAGTCACAAGACTAGTAAATTTTCATTTCAATATAAAATTTTTTAAAAATATATGATACAGAAACAATAAACTCAAGCACTTAATGGGCTGTCACCCAACAGTACTACTAATGAAACAAACAGGATATGAAGTAATTGAAACTTAGACTTCTTACTTCAACCATTATTTCCATAATTTATATTTTGACTGAATATTTTATTAAATTACATAGTATTCTTCTTTAATCAGAAGTAAGAATCCAAATAGTAACCTTGGAGCAATCATACTTCATTATGTACAAATGAATTTTTTCAGAGATTTTATAATGTTAATGTCCACATTTACTGTCAAAAAGATGATTTTAAATAAAAACGTAGATCCTTCCCATATGCTCAATAGCTATGACAAATAGATAAACTAAAATCAATTATTTTGGTGAAGAAATATTGACATATACTTCATAAAATACATTTACTTGTTACTATTTACTGGTCATACACTATATTCTGATATTTAAATTTTTGGTAATAGAAAATATTTCATAATCAGGTCTGTATCATACTCTACTTTTTTTTACCTAAAAACACAATATTGTTATCAGCGGAATATTATTATTAACACTAAGTTTTTATATTCATTATATTCCCACAGAGTAAAAATGTAATAATTCTTCATAATTTATTATGAAGAAATAATTTTCTGAGAAAATTGTAATAGTTTCATCCAAAACAAATTACTAGTTACATATGTTAATCATAATTAGGAGCATTTACTGTTATACACAAAAATACTTATTGCATTTCCTAGAATTATTAGAATTCTAGTTGTGGCAATGTCATTTTAACAAACACTGGTAGTGGAAATGCCTCTGGGAAAGCTGCCTCTGGGGCTTTAGCTCCTCAAAGTATTCTGCACTATTCTGATTCAAGGAAAGTTAAGCCACAAAATTCATTGAATCAAGATTTATTTATCAGTGAATATAAATATTTGCTAAACTTGTCTTTCATTAAATTTATCTCAATCTGTGATCATTAAAAACTGTCTAGTAATGATTCCATGCTAAAATAAAATTTGGCTTCTTTAGATATGTTATTAAGAATTATTTTAAGCAAATGAGAGGTTTTTTTTGAACTTTGTACTCATTGGCAGATTCAGTCCAGCAGAAAAATAAAAACATAAAAATATTGACCATGTGTAAATTAGTAATGTTACGAAAATTAAAAAAAAATTAATAGTGACACATATTTTCTAGCCATAGTCCAAAAAAGACTAAAAAAGGAGAAGAAGGCAAAAAGAAAATTGCAAGAAGCACTTGAATTTGAGACAAAACGGCGTGAACAAGCTGAGCAGACACTAAAACAGGCAGCTTCAACAGACAGTCTCAGAGTACTGAATGGTAAGAAGGTGTATATACGAACAGGAGCAACTATGATTTTGAGTACTCAGAGGACAATTCAGACTGTTTGTGATTTTGTGTATGTCTCTGAATGTGACCCACTCAGCTATGTTTGTAGTTGAAAGGATGGTAGAAAGAATGTGTTTGTGTGTTGGGGGAGGATACTTAATTTCATTGGTATTTCTGTTGCTTTATTACTTAAGCTAGCGTCTGGAATCCAACCTTACTCTGTGCTTACCCCAATCTTTTTCTACCACAAACACAACAAACATTAAAGAGCTTCCACTCCTATCTTGTCTCATGAACAATATTACGCGACTTGTTTATTTAAATCTTCTGAAAATTCCTAAGACTAGAGATTCTGTTCAACCTTTAAAAGATGACAAAGATTTATGTGGTTTTAATTCAGCACCAGAGTAACAGGTTGTTCTTTTTTTAAAGAGGACAATAGGAATCAAATGAAATATATGTCACTCTTACCTTTCTGTGCTTTTAGATTCTCTGACCCCAGAGATAGAAGCTGACCGCAGTGGCGGCAGAACAGATGCTGAAAGGACAATACAAGGTAGGAATTTGCAGAAGGCTATAAATCTAGATCTTGCTGTATGAGTTTTTCCTCAGTTTTAGCCTGCTATTCAAGCATGTAGCCTACCATCTGGGCCACATCAAAACAAGTTCAAACAAGGTCAAGTTCATCTTGCTTGTTTATATGAGTGAATTCATTTTGTGCTGATAGATTTTCTTTAAATTAACAGGTCATTTCTGTTTATACAATGCAATTAAAAAGGAATAATTAATTTTAAACAATGTATGAATTAATCTAGGACATAGTAAATGTACTTTATTGAATGTTTGGAGCCCGACCTAATATAGAAAGGGTTTATATATTCTATAGTACATAAATAAAATGATAGATTAAGCAAATACATATTTCTTAAAATCTAACACTGTCTAACTAATCACTTTGTGACAATTACTACTGGGCACATGCAAAATGTACTCAATGAATGTTAACAATAAATTAGATTGTTTAGTGCCTTTGTGGATTTCCAAATGTTCTGTGTGCTATTGTATACACTTTAATAACAAAAATATCTTAGAAAACTCATAAATAGAATATTACAGGGAATTGAATTAAGTACTGAGAAGAGCTAAATATGTACATTAGCAAGACCATGCTACTAGGAAAGGACAAAATTAGAAAACAGAATTTATAATAAAACATTTAGATAAGAAACTCAGTCTAACAGCATGCATATCAAACAGGAACAAAAACATTTGTTTTCTTTTCTAAATGCAGATGATTATTGAAAGGAAAGCCTAAAATCATTAAATGCCATAATCCCCCCAATTGTTTTTATTTTGCATCTTACTCCCACTCATTTTTTAGGATATTATATAACATTAATTGTGCTACTTAGCTCCAAAAATGTCACTTATGTATGGTACATATTTGCAATAAATATAAGGGAAAGTTCTTTTTAAAGTACTAAATAAGTTATAATTAGTAAATTTGAAGTGACACAATTTTATATCACTTCCTGTATTTATTTTACCTGAGGTCATAATAATTGATTTCTAAAACTAAGACTTAAATATTACATAATTGTGAGACATCTTTTCAGAAAAAATTCATGCAATTGTTGATGTAAAATAAGACCTTAATTTTTAATACCATTCTGGGTTCAAAACAATTTTGCTTCTATCATTTAAATCACATGAAATCTATTGCATAGACATTTGAAATAGTTATCTCTAACACAAACCTTGTCCAAATTGTCAAGGTTTATCTGGTATCCTCAATAGAGCCAATGATAATTAATGGAAACCCCAATTTTTATAGCAGGTGTTACTCAGGTGCCAACTTAGATCATGTTGAAGTGGGCTAAGAAATAATATGAGTCTCTATACAATTACACTATATAAATCAAATTCAATATACAAAATTTTAATGCCAAACTAGAGAAGATCATAGATAATATATTTTTGTGTAGAAATGAAACATTTATTGTTAATATTAAGAATAATTAGGGGGCTGGGGAAACAGCTCAGTAAAATAAGTGCTTACCTGGCAAGCGCAAGGGCCTGAGTTCAATCCCCAGTTCCGCCAAAAAAAAGTAATAATAATTAGACACCAAATAGGTATTTTTCAACAGTTCATATAACATTAATGACATAAGTTCACCATCAGCAACATTTTATTAATTAAATGGATGATTATTCTAAGTTTTAAGATAAAAATTCATACAGCCAAATGTATACTTTATTTTGAATAAAGTTTTATTTGTATGAAGTTGAAATATTCAAAGATTTTAGTTTTTATTGCTGTGATTTGGTTATTCTTAAAAAAAGAAACTGATCAAAAATTACTTTCCAGAATTCTCTCAGTGGAGTAACATAGTAAAGTTGCCAAAATAACTTCATGATTAGAAAAGCAAAACATTTGTACAGGAATCATTCTTAGTAATTCAAGCCAAATCTAAACTATTATGAGATTATTTTTGTTTTCAATTATGATATAAAAATATTCATTTGAATAGCCTTCCAATTGTTATATTGAACAAATGAATGATGTTCAATGAACTACAACTTTTTATTTTTGTTCAATAATGATTTTTTTAAATGTAATTACACAAAACCCTACATGGGTGTTTCTAGCTGGTAGTTGCTTAAAAAGCTATTTCTCTCAGATGGACTATTGCACAGCTTTTAAAATAAGAGTAAAAAAATCTTTCATTGCTCATTTTTCCCTCTGAATCTTTTTCCTCTATTATTATTCTAATACTGTGAAGAGAAGAAAGAAGAATGTCTTTAATACAATGCTATCTAAGCACTGCATGAAGAAGTCCAGGGAGAGAGAGCCACAGTACACTTCTCATGTTGCATTTTGGGAGCCAGGTGAACCACTGCTTCACAACTCAAACTGTTGCATGCCTATAATCCCAGAAGGATCATTTTGAGTTTGAGACCATCCTGGGCTACAAATTGAGCTCAGGGCCAGCCTGAGCTTTATAGCTAGACCTTTTCTCAGAAAGACCAAAAAAAAAAAAAAAAAGTGATTCCTTCTTCACCCTGCTCTCCCCAGGCTTCCAAGTACAGATGTTGCCCTCTTTCTATTCTTTTTTCCTCCCAAACCAACCATAATTTAAGTTGCTTTTTATTCCAAAGTAGACTCAATTTAATTGGAAAAGAAAAAAGATGATTATCTCCTGTTTTTAATATTTTAGCAATAAGTAAATGCCACAGTTGGCCTAAGTGGTAATCACCTAGATGTTGGGTACTTAAACACTTCTCAAGTACCAACTAATTATCTGCATGTAAGCATCTCAAATTAGGCTAAATATTGCATCACTGTTCATATCACCATTTTATATCACAGTTTCCTTAACATTAAAGAGGTGGGAAAAAGGAAACATGGGTGCTTGTCTAGGTTACCCTTCTCTCATTGCTCCAACAAATACCTGAAACCCAAAATGAAGGAGGGAAAGACAGCTCACTGTTAGTGAAGGTTTCAGTCCATACTCAGCTGGCTCCAAGGCAGAGTGACACTTGGAAGAGAGCAACCTTTCATGAAGGTGGCAAAGAGCAAGACAGGAAGAGCAAAAGGGAAGGATAACAGCAACCATGACAACAGAGAGCAATTCTCTGTCCCTTATGTTGCATTCAGGCTATTAGCCCCAGGCTGGGTGTAGCACTCACACCCAGAAGCCCTCACACCCATTATCCTAGTGGATCATGTGTTAATCATAAACTCTAGAAGTCTGCCCCATAACTTCATGGGGCTTTGGGGAGACAACTAGACACAAAGCATAACAGTGGCTTAGAAAAATATTCTTTAGGAGCAAAGGTTTTCAATGATTTAACTTTTCTTCAAAAGTAAGATCATTTCATGTCTCACAGAGATAAATTCTTCAGTACTAATATTTCCATGACTAACTCAAAATCATGAGTTTGATGAAGCTGTTATAAATCTGGAATGAGCATTCAAAAATTATAAAAGAAAACAACTTTTGAGGACCTCTGAATCATAAGGCAATTAACTCTTTCATGCTGTGAGTCTTGACTAATATGTATGTCGTGATTTGTGGTGGGTTTTAAAAATTTACCTCTTAAAGGGCCAGCCAAATAGCTCAGAGGATTAAAGCACCTGCAAGCAGGCACATGGACCAGGATTTCTTTCTTTCTGTTCTTTTTTTCTTTTTGGAGTATCGGGGATTGAACTTGGGACCTTGCGTTTGCCAGACAAGTACTTATTCTACTGAGCTATCTCTCCAGCCCAGGGGGGACAGGCTTTTGATCCTCATGCCAGCCTTGCCCCTGGGGCACACTGAGATGGCAATTTTGATGGGGCATAGTGGCATGCACCTGTAATCCCAGATCTTGGGAGGCTGTAAACAAGGGGATCAGTGTGAGTCCGATCTGATAGTGAGGCACTGAACAGCCTGTAGACACTTCCCTAAAATACAGAGAAAAAATTTAAACCTTGAAAAGAATGTTCTGTTCTAATATTGTTTAGAAAAGATATCATGCATATACATTTTACTCTGATTAGCTATGATGAAGACAATATGTAATGTGTCAACTATTGTAATTGTCCCACTAATCTTTTCTGAAACTTGGTTTCATTGTTTATCTTTTTTCTCTTCAAAATGAAAAAAAACAGACTTTAATTGCAAAGATAGAGATGAACTCCATAGTTTAAAGCTAATTAAATTTCATTATTCAGGTCATGGCCTTTTAAGAATTCCCCATGAATAAGATTTTATTTTTCCATGGCAAAATGGAAACTTCCCAGAATTGGAATGCTCTTTTTAGTGTTTTTCTGCCACTGACAATTTTCTTTTAAAAACTCTGGTTGGTATAAATTAAAGGTTGAAGAGAATACTGTACAGAAAAAAATCTTATTGTACTTTATACTTTTTCTAAGATAGTTGATTGTACAGGAAAAATCTGCCCCAGACTGGGTGTAAAAAAATGTATTGAGAACTGTTATAGGCTGGGCAGTGAATAACTTTTCTTTTTCTTTTTTTTTTTTCTTTTTTTTTGGTGGAACCGGGGATTGAACTCAGGCCCTTGCACTTGCCAGGGAAGTGCTTATTCCACTGAGTCATCTCCCTGACCCTAACTTTTCAAAACTACTCTTTATATGGAAGTGTGCATACACTCTTTATGCTGCCAGCTACGTATTGTGATGACTTCTTCCAGAAATTTCTACGATTGCATTTTTTCTTCCTAGGCAACAGTATCTATTTAAATTCTTCTTCTCCTCCTCCTCCTCCTCCTTCTTCTCCTTCCCCCTTCCCCTTGCCTTCCCCTTCCTCCTCCTCCTCGTCCTCCTCCTCCTCATCCTCCTCATCCTCGTCCTCCTCCTATTCTTCTTCTTCTTCTTCTTCTTCTTCTTCTTCTTCTTCTTCTTCTTCTTCTTCTTCTTCTTCTTCTTCTTCTTCTTCTTCTGCTTCTTCTTCTGCTTCTTCTTCTGCTTGTTGTTGCTGTTGTTGTTGTTGTTGTTGTTGTTGTTGTTGTT